TACTAAAGTCGCGCGGCAAAAGTCTTTTCTTGAATCGCGCCGCGGCTCTAAATCTGTTCTTAAGTCCTGCATAAGAAATCTACTGAGTCATGCAGCAAAGGTCTTTATTAAAATGCCGCCGCCAAAGTTTTATCTTAAGTCGCACCGCACCTGGAAGCCTTTTCGTAAGTTGCGCTACCAAAGTTTTTTCCTAAGTCTGAAGGAAAGCCGCGCCGCCGAAGTTTTTCTTAAATCTCACCACATCTGGAAGCCATTTAAGTCACGCCATGCCTCAAAGACTGGCGGCGCGACATAAGAATAAATGTGTACGGCGCGACTAAGGAAAATGCTTTTGAAGTGTCACTTACAACAGGACTTTGGCGGAGCAGCTTGTGAAAAACATTTTTGAGGCACAATTTAAGAAAGGAATTTGAGCCACTTCTCGAATGAATATAAGACTTTGGCACGACTTCGTGGTAGTTGTATTCAATTGCGCCAATCGTGCCGTTATCTTCGATCGGGACGCTTGTGGCGGTATTTTTGGTCACGCTAGTTGTGGCGGTTTTTTCAGTCTCGCCCGTTCCAAATTGACAATTTTCAGTCCCGAAATATTCAAGTCAGAATTTAGATTGTCACCCAAAAATTTAGAGGGTGGGCTGTTTTGAAATTTTGTTAACTAATTACATTTTGTTTGTCCGACCTCCTTTTGAAGTGTAAAAAAACTCGAGGCATAATTCGAAATGTAAAAAAACTACATTCTAGAAACTTGATCCAAAAAATTAAGTGTATGACCAATTAACGAGCAATAAAATTCATGAACTTTTTTTCCTGTTAATCTTGAGCAAAATATGAGTCTCATTTTTTTGTTCCGATGTTCGGATGAAGGATGAAATACTACAGCTTGGTGTAGTTTTTAACTAGCCACTTCTAAACAGGTTTTCTACAACATCTGGCACATATGGAGGTCCTGAGATATAAACTTAAACAGATAACTTACGCGCATTTTTGTAGTAAAGGTGAGGGCTAATTTAGAGCTCTTTGGCTAAATTGAAGCAATTAACGAGCGATAGGTTTTGGGCTATTAGCACGGTTCCCTCTTTTTTAGCTCAACATCAAACATCATACTTTTTCACTGCATTCTTTTTTGTTGACTTAGCAATTTAAAACCATTACATTTCAAAACTAACTGTCCCACTTAACACTGTTTTAATCCAAAATGAAAAGACAACTTACTTCAAAGGGTGTTTGGGTAAACATCACGCAAGTTAGTTTTGGCCATTCAAAGCTAGATAGCTTCGCGCTACTTAATTCGCAAAAGAATTGAAATGAAATAACTTTGCCAATAAGTCGGGTTTTCTATAGTTAGAGCCAAAGTATAGACATAACTTGTTAATCTTTTTTTTCGGTTTCCAAACAAATTTTGTTGCAAACATTTTAAATTTTCTGAAAAATTATGTCATAGAACTCGCCTATTCTTTCAAATGCAAGGGACGGCAGAATTTTTATGGACAACGCTAAATCGTTATTTGTGTCGAAGTTGACTTTGAGACCCAGTTCATTGATTTTTTTTTTGAAACTCTGTGAGAGATGAAAAATCAACCTGATAAATACGCTCCGGGGATTTGTTTTGGAGGACTGAAGAACAGTTTGGTCAATATTCAATCAAATTTTTTTTGAGGCCAGCAGTTTTGTGCTAAATCGGTTAATGGCTGCAAAAATGAATCGTAGGTTTTATCGGTTTTGTTGGGAAGAATGTCATAGAACTCGCCTATTCTTTCAAATGCAAGGGACGGCAGCATTTTTATGGACAACGCTAAATCGTTATTTGTGTCAAAGTTGACTTTGAGACCCGGTTCATTGATTTTCTTTATGAAACTCTGTGAGAGATGAAAAATCAACCTACTAAATACGCTCCGGGGATTTGTTTTGGAGGACTGAAGAACAGTTTGGTCAACATTCAATCAAGTTTTTTTTGAGGCCAGCAGTTTGTGCTAAATCGGTTAATACCTGCAAAAATGAATCGTAGGTTTTATCGGTTTTGTTGGGAAGAATGTCATAGAACTCGCCTATTCTTTCAAATGCAAGGGACGGCAGCATTTTTATGGACAACGCTAAATCGTTATTTGTGTCAAAGTTGACTTTGAGACCCGGTTCATTGATTTTCTTTATGAAACTCTGTGAGAGATGAAAAATCAACCTGATAAATACGCTCCGGGGATTTGTTTTGGAGGACTGAAGAACAGTTTGGTCAATATTCAATCAAATTTTTTGTGCTAAATCGGTTAATGGCTGCAAAAATGAATCGTAGGTTTTATCGGTTTTGTTGGGAAGAATGTCATAGAACTCGCCTATTCTTTCAAATGCAAGGGACGGCAGCATTTTTATGGACAACGCTAAATCGTTATTTGTGTCAAAGTTGACTTTGAGACCCGGTTCATTGATTTTCTTTATGAAACTCTGTGAGAGATGAAAAATCAACCTGATAAATACGCTCCGGGGATTTGTTTTGGAGGACTGAAGAACAGTTTGGTCAACATTCAATCAAGTTTTTTTTGAGGCCAGCAGTTTGTGCTAAATCGGTTAATACCTGCAAAAATGAATCGTAGGTTTTATCGGTTTTGTTGGAAAGGCAGGCTCATATGCAATTTGGTGCCATACCAGATACCCTACGATCAAATGGATACAGCTGATAGAACATTCTAGAAGTGATTTTGAAGGTTCCATTGGCTAATCAGAAAGATTGTTTTTCCAGCAGTATCAGCATTTCGGCGTCACTGCTCCACTGTCATGCCAGACAATTTTTCCGAAAATTTAAGGAGTCTCGATATTTTGCGCAACATGGATGGTAGGCATATTAACATCTAGCTGCTTACGTGTACGCGCAGCTGTTCGAATCAGTTTATTTTTAGTTGGGAGGGCAAATAGAATGGCCAAATTGTTAATTAATGGCAAAACCGCACTGGCAACTGCGACAGTCCATGTATAGCTCTCGCTGAGTTTTGTTAAATTATTGATCACGTTTCGGGTATTTGATTTTCTCGCTGAGATTTCATGATTATGCTATCCGAGGGTTTCGATCATTTCGTTGTTTTCTGTTATGGCAGATGCTCAATATTTTTGCGTTTGTTGTTTTTAGCGAATCCAGTTTTCGGTAAATTTATTTGTCCGCTAGAAAAAAAATTCCTCGTTCGACGCTATAAGAAAGTCTCGTGTTTAGATCAAATTGTGAATTCGAAAGAAGACTCAATCTTAGTTTGTTATTGATGGTTGCAAGTGTTTACAACTTGAGAAAAGCTTAACTTGACTCTCAGAAACTTGTGTTTATCCAAAATAGGAATTGAAAACGATCCAGGAATTTTTCTTTTAATAATTGGGTTTACACCTTATCCTAAATTCTCTCTTAGATAGATTTGATTGTTTAATACTTTAAAGACTATATCTATGGAGCTGAAAACATAATTAATTTTATTAAGTACCACACAAAATTAATTTGAAATGATTACAAGCTCTTATTTCCTTAAATGATTCAAAGTTTTCATTATCATTATCGCTTATCAATTTTTTTCTTTTTGGTATAAGTTTTTGAAAATTAGAGAACGCACAAAATGCATGTCTTAGGTCTTCCCGCACTATATTTTGATACAAAAACCGCTGTAAAAAACTCAGGATTTTGCTATGCTATACAATCATTTTTTTGGGTTCATTATTATTTTGCTAGACAACAAACTCATCAACTTGTAGCTTAGTTACTGTGTGTGCGGCAAGAATTTGTATGGCCACTTTTATCAAAAACTAATTCAGAGACCTTGACTGGCAGTATGAATTATTAGATCCTCGTCTTGATGCTAGCTAGCAGTGTTGTTTATCTTTAGAGTCAAATTGAACAGCAAATTTTGTCAGATATAGCTTCTTTAAGATAATTTTTTCCCTGGGGACATTTTGCCCTAGAATAATTCAAAAAAAGATCCTGCATTCACATTAACTAGCAACTCATGGCCTAACATTAACATCATTTTTGTTTATCAACGTGTTTCTTCTTTTATAATATTATTTTCAATTTAATCAAAGTTGAGGATTTTTTCGCAATGACTAAGTGCAAGTTTTAATCCCAATACTTTTATCCTTAAAAAACCTGTTTCATTTTTGCTTTTTTAACCTATCAGTTCAGGGTAATGATATCTTTCAGACCTTTTTTTAAAATTACTATCAAAATAATCTACTAAAAATCAAAAAACAACTTCAATGGCTTTTGCTTTTTTAAGAATAAGTTTCTAAGCTCAATTTTCCAATCGTCACTTTTAAGGAATGTTTTATATCGCTTTTTTTCTGAGTCGATAGACGGCCATTTTTCTAAAATTACTATGATTTAAAATGGCAAAGAGATAATATCGAGAGTCCAATTGATACAAATTTGACATGACAGCTATTGAGTTCAGTATAATTGTTTTCCTAAAAGAAGCATATTGTTTCTCGACTGTGGCTATGAAATACCAAAATTTTTCAGTTTCAGAACAATAACTACTAGTATGAATTGGTTAGCTTTAGTTTACTGAGTGCATAATGTTGCTATTACAAAAAATATCCACTATGAAAAATGTGGAACCATTTTATCACCATTTTTTCATCACAAAAATGTCCCACGAGGATCAAATTTTGTTCTTGGAATGATTTTCGATTAACAAATTTTTAGTATTAACTTGCTTTATTTAAGAATTTTTAAAGTTCATCTTTCCATTTGTCAGTTTTGAGCAAAAATTTATAGAAATTTTAACCAAGTTTTTTGGCAGCCAGTTTTTCAAATTTGCTTATGATTTCATTTGGCGTAGAGATCAGCTCCGACTCTGAGTATCAAAGTCTGTATTAGTTGTATTACTAATTACTAAAAGTCTGTATAACTAATCTAAACTAAACATTTTGTACATTTCGCTCACTGGCACAGTCAGTTTGCGTTTTCCAAAAATAGTCGGAAAGCGCAAAAAGACATTAACGGTGGAGTCCGCTATTTTTTGCTCAGCACAAATATGATATGACTACTATTTTTCCAATCACAAGTAAATTGTTTCACGAGCTTTTCTATCAACATGTATTAGGAACTTCAATTTCCTGCATGATATTATGAAATAAATTGTTTATAAATTGACCCTCCGAGTTATCAAATATTCAAAGGAACTTCAGCAAACTGTTGTTTCAGATTAAATCATATCAGTGGAGGTTACTACCAGACTATAATTCAAAGGCTCCACATTTTGAACAGGTGCTCTAACAAAGTCCTGTTTCAACTTTTGCTCATGACTTGCTTATCCAAATTAATCTGTTTCAAATGCTTAGTAATGATTTCAAGAAATTGATATTGTTTCAAATTGGGATTTTAGTTTTTTTATTGGCCACTTATTGACCGGAAATTTATATGCCAGCTGATATTGAAAAACCTTAATTTTGTTCTGATTCGGCTCCGATTTCTTTGAAGTTGAATTTCGAATTTGGTTTTTGGACTCCGGTTGGTGCCGAATATATCCAATGATATTATCAAACTGTCTTAGATATATCTGTCCAAGAATTTAAAATTCAAATTTGTGCTATATTTAACTCATTTTTATCTCTGCTTGGCTTGAGTAACAGGTCTGTGATACATTTCACGTCGAGTCCCTCACCGACCGAAGCATGACCATTTAGTTCATCGTTTTTCTTCGGTAAATCTTGAATTTTCTACATCACAAATGTTAGCCGCATATTTAGTTCGGAAAATAATTGGCAGTTTTTTGCTTCATTTTGAAATTTTTTTCAATCAACAGAACATCAATGTTCAGGTGTAAAATATCGTAAAATTCTGCATTTTGACCCAATCTGCTTTTAAACTGCTCACCAGATGTTTTGAAGAAATACTAGAAACAGACATGGACAGTAATACAAGCGCTGAAAATCAAAGTTTAGAACACAATTGATATGTTAACAAGATTGCTCGTAAATGCAAAAGGTGAGTTCGACCAAATTAATTTACCGCTTACGCGGGTCATGAGAACGCATGTGATCGCCCGCTGATTTTACCAAATTGGCCAAATTAGCAGTCTTCAAAACGCCGTAACCTTACAGAAAACGATCACAGGTAAAATATCTTTTTTTAATTGAGCTCAGTAGAACAATATCTTTCATTTGTCAAAAACGCTTACCTAATTAGTCAAAAATCGACTGAATTAAAAACCACCCCAAGCTTAAAAATTCTGCACTTTCAATAACAATAAAACAGCCGGGTCGAGCTCGGCGACTAATAGCCACCCAATTCTTTTGATCACAAGCAACAATTTGTTGCAATTCAACCTAATTAGGATTCACTGCCTAAACGTTTTGTGAAATGATTCCATATCAAATCCCTCACCCGCTTAAGCATGGCCGTTTGGTTTCTAAGTATTGCTGCTAAATCAGTTAAATTTATTTTTATTCTATACTTTTTAAGGCAAAACGTTTTGCAACGAATTCCACTTCGTGGATTGACACTTGCTCGTTTTATCTCCCTCTCTTTCTTGCTTTGTTTCTTTCTTTCTCTTCCTCTCTCTCTCTCTCTCTCTCTCTCTCTCTCTTCTTTCTTGACCCCCCTCAACACATACATAAGCAAACAAGCGGTTTTTTCGAAAACACTTCAACCAATCAAAATCGTTAATCTTTTCCAGTGGGCGAAAAGTTTTATGATGAAATAGGAGTTAGAGTCATTAGAAATTGATTTAGGGGCGAGTTTTGCTCTACAATCAGTGCGGAAATCGAATAATTTTTTAGATTTGTTTTTCATTTTTCAACAATCGTTGTCCTCTAAATAAGACATTTTTTCATGCGTTTAGATCTGACACTTTTTTTAAAAAAATTTCTGCTTGTTTTGCAGTCGGTCAGTTTTAATCTAGGCCTGTTTTTATATGAAAAAAAAATAAAATTTTGCAATTTTTTTTTTGAAATTTTAGAATAATCAATTTTGATTGGCTGAAAATAACTAAAAATAAAATTCCAACAATCTGTTCTTCGATCATGAGGGACCACACCCAAACTAACAAAACAAACAAAAAAAAACAAACAACCAAACAAGCAAACAAACAAACAAACAAACAAACAAACAAAAAAACAAACAAACAGACCAACAAACAAACAAATAAACAAAGAAACAAGCAAGCAAGCAAACAAACAAACAAACAAACAAACAAACAAACAAACAAACAAACAAACAAACAAAAAAAACAAACAAACAAACAAACAAACAAACAAACAAACAAGCAAGTAAACAAACAAACAATCAAAGAAACAAACAAATAAAAAATAATCAAACAAATAAACGAACAATTTTAAATTAAATGCTGAAAAGGGGCAAGCCAATCAGGAGTTTGTTTTTTTTTAAATAAAAATTAATCAAATTTTAACGGTGAAAAGGAATGTTGATTTGTAAGCCGCAAGCAAACTTGAACATTTTTTAGAAGATTGAAAGTTCGCACAAAATACTGCTTGGAAAGGTTCCAGATGGGTGCTCTTTAAGCAGGAAATCAGTTCATTTTAAGTTTGAGAGCCAAAAAACTTAGTTTGAGATTAGGTTCAGCTAGCATAGAACAATATTATTTCATTTATATTGCCGTATATTGCCGTCCCTTGGGACAAAAATTGTGACATTAAAATAAAACGCATTGTCACTTATTCCCCAGCAATTAACTACAATCAATTACCGAGCAAAAAACTGTAAACATTCAAAAATGGCGTCTTGAATGGTTTAAAAGTCATCGTTCTAGAGAAATTAAGTGAAAGAGGCGGGTTTTTCAATTTTTTTGTTTTGTTGTCTAGATTTTTAACTGAAATATTGTGTTAATGGGCTATTCTAAAACTGAATTAAATTGTGCCATGGTAATCGAGAATTCTGAATATAATTTGAACATCTATTTGAAAGCCTCTGCAAAAGGTTTTAATCTTTCGCTTGAGTTTGCGAAAATTTCCGAATTCAATTCACGTTTTTGAAGTTTTTTTTGTAATTGTATAACTAAGTTTACTAAAGCGTAATAAAATTACAGCAGCTTTCTTGGGGAGAAAAAAAAATTAGAACTAGCTTTATATAATACAACACAAAATTTACACTGCATCAATATACGGTTTTTATTAGAGTAAATTTTTTGAGTTACACAATATAACATTAAATCAGAAAGATTATCTCAAGAATTGATTTCTGTTTGTGATCTGGTGTTTTTTTCGCCAACCGGGTAGGAAGGCAGCTTGATGCTCTTTTATGCTTGTCCTTTGATTTGAGACGTTACTGAGTAATACGTGATCGCCCTCTTTGTATCGCTTAATTGGCAGAACTTCCACCTTGATTGCCCATTTTTTCAGCGGTTGGTAAAATTATTTTAAAAATTGTATTATTACCTCTGACGGGTTGGTGTATTGTTCAAATAAGCCCGTGACGAATTATTTTTCAGTTGTCAATTTGATGAAACAAATTCCGGTAATTTACCCAGTTTGGTAAAAACTAATCAAAACAAAGGCATCAGTATAATTTATGATTGCGCAGTCATGGTTGAAAACTAAGTTCAGAACAAATAACATTTTTGGTAGACAGATTAAATTTTTTGATCACACATCGAGTGGTGCTATTTGTTGATATAAACGATTGTATAACTCTAGATATAACTATGCCTTCAATAAATTTTCCCAAAATTATCACAATCTGCTTCAGATAGCCGTTGTAAAAGTCGGTCGAACAAATTGATTAAATGACTAGATAAGTATTGGGGTAGATTAGTAAATTTATGCCCTACTATGCGACCGAAGCTTCATAGATTTTTATTTCGAGCAGATTATTAAACTTTCTTTTGAAGATGAAAAAGGATTGATAAGGAATTCTATTATTGTCTGTCTCAAGATCTCCTGCAGGTAATCTTTGTTATATTTTTTTTCATAAAAATTTTTCGAAACAGCTTAGGTGCAAAAAAATGAGGCTGACTATGCAGACTGGTCTTGTTGAATTTTTTGCCTACCATAGGTTTTTACAAGAATTTTGACGACTGTTGGTCTTTGCTATATCTTTACTGGCAAGGTTTGTTGCCATAAATTTTGCCTGCCGTTTGTTTTTCTAGAATATTTTGCCGACTGTGGGTTGCTTCCGCAACTGCAAAAATGGACGAAAACTAATTGTGTATAAGAAAACATACAGCTTTCATATCAACAGTAATTCATCTTTTATTCACCAAAAAAAACTAAAATTGTGTACCTTTAATCATCGATTAAAACGCATTTCTTTTGCCAAATTTGTACTTTGAGTAGCTTCATTCTAACGACTACCAAAATTAAAATTTTATTTTTTTCTGCATTAAATTTCAAATTTCATATGTGCTTTAAACAAATCGTATACAAGTTATATTACCGAAAATGTACAATTTAATTAGAGATTATGTATAGATTATGAACACATTTTTATCGGCTATAAAAATGTATACAACTTATTTACTGATTTCTTGCCTCTTAATTTTTTGAAATAATTCAAAATAAAATTATAATGCATGCTTTTTCAGTCACTGTTTCGTGTTGATTTTACTAAAATGAAAATTATGCAAAAATTTTGCAGCAAAAACTAATTGTTTTTAGCTGGATTCAACAATTTCGCACTGAAACTAATGGTGTTAGAAACAGTATTTAAATGAAGTTAGCATAAATACATTATTTAGCATGTTATTTTTCTCACAGCGGAAACACTTAGATTGCAAAATTTTACATGGATCTCTTCAAACTCATAGTTTTGCAGTAAGCAAGGCTCCCTAAGTGACTTTAGCTGACTGCAACACTAACGCAGGTTTTTTTCCTGAGTACAATTTTTTGCTAGAAAAATTTAACAAAAGTAATGATTAAATTAAGTTTCTGTGGCATTCTCTGACGTTTTTCGAATCCTATAGCTTTCAGATAAATCAAATGGTTTTATACGGACTTTATACCGATCTAAAAACTGGCTATGTTGAATTTTGCTCAATGTTGTTATATCTTTAACTGAACGTTAGTTTTCCTTAACTTTTTTTGGCATGTGTTGGTTTTTGTTGAAAGCTTGGCGACCGTAAATAGTGCTGTATCTACAGCAGTGTCTGATTTTTGAAAAGTTTTGGTTACTGATAGTAAACATGGGCTCTATTGTTCAAAGTTTCAAACATACCAACCGTTCCGATTTTCAAAGAAAGTAACGGAACATTTGTCCTCGTGGATGCTATCTTAACTAGACAAATATCAATTTGTTAGGTAATCTTTTAACAGAAATATTTATAACATCAAAAATACATAATGTAATGAGCTTAAACTATAATTTCTCTCGGAAATCGTAAATTTCATCAAAAGCCATCTTTTTAAACCAATCAGTTGCTTACATTTGCTGCTTAAAATTATTGATTCTTCGTTCACGTGGTTAATTTAAATGTTCGTCTGAATTGCTGGAATGATTTTTTGAATGGGCACTGAGCTCTACAAATGCAGTGGAATGTTTGCATGGGCTGTGAGCTCTTACAGCTTCTACTTCATACAAATGTTTTTTTTTTAATTTGTTGTTACTACCATTTCATGAAGTGGTAAGGAACTAAGTGCTAGAATTGGTTTCTTTCCAACTCTGTCTACCCCAAAGTGTGCCCAAGTGTGGTATCAAAAAAATCTATATTGCTCTTAGTTCAGATTCCATTAGGAATTTCAAAAAAGTTGTCTCGCCTCCTGCAAACTGCTCTGAATTTTTCCGTTTTGAGACTAAATGACGGAACGACATTTGCAAATGAAGCGCTAAAAGGTTGAATTTTCAGTTCATTATAATGCATCTTTTTTAAAAAAAAATTAGCTGTTTTAAATTAACTTAATCGTCTTTTCAAAAACTTAGAGAAAAATAAGAGTTGAAAAACAACTGATCAGGGTCAAAGGTTAGGTGGATTGAAGGGGAGCAAAAGGGAAAACGTTGGAGGGGGGAGAGCTCAACGGAATCTTTTTGCAATTTGAGTTTAGGTTTTGAAATGGATTAGGCCAGGCCGAACACTCGCCTTGCAAAGTTTCCGGATAACTCACTTGATAAATGCAGAAATTCTTGCAAAATTTTGCACGACGCGCGAAACAAAAATAACAAAATGGAAAAAAAATCCATTTTAATTGGATTTCCTATTTATTATAAAATCCATTATAATGGATTCAAAATGAATTATAATGCATTTTATTTTGGCGAGAAAAAATGGATTTAAATCTATTTTTAGTCCAATTTTGTTGTCTGAACGTAACATGGGAATCGATTATATTTACAACATTATAAACCTCGAAAATCCATTATAATCGATTTGTTTTCACTTTTCTTAAGAGGATGATAAAAAACCCTTTAAAATACTGATGGGTTGTGGGGAAAAAGGGATCAAAAACCAACATAGGACTATTTGCTTTATTGATTACATGTGATTTTTGGCAAAAACAGCGGGACATTTTTTTAAAAAATTTGCTTTCTAAAAAGACCCCAATGATCATTCTCGTGCCAACTTCAACACTTTTGGAGATTTTACCCATTAATATGGCAAATTTTTCGAGTGTACCACAAATCTTGCAGTGTTGTTGCCTGATAAAAATACAAAACGAATGCTTTTGCAAGATTTGCAGTACCATAATTTCAGGATCTTTTTGTTGAGAAAACAGTGCCATTGAAAACTGGCAAATAGCACTTGAAAGCCAGGACTAGGCAATTTAGTATACAGGCATCTGAAGTGGAAAAAAGTTATTTCTCGAAGTTGCTTTCGTCGACAAGATCCGAAATCAAAACAATTATCCATTCGCTACGACTTTAATAGAGCGCAGAAGCCAGCGTTTTGCCTCCAAAGTTGATGGTTGCTTCTTAGGTAGTTTGTAAAAAAAACAAATTAGACTTAAAATTCTACCTAAAAATTGTTCACTTTAATGCATTTCATTGCATATTTCGGCTGAATTTCTTGTATAATCAATTACCGGTCTCTTGCTACTTGATAGTAACAGATGGTTAGCGACACGCCACACCCTAGACACAAGTTCCTTCCCACCAGAGAATCAAAGTAAGGACAACTATAGCTTCCCTCTCAAATATTTTGCATTAAGTTACATGGTATGTTTCCCGTTTCAGGAAACTTGTAGCTTGAATTCATCTAAGAATGAGCAATTTGATTAGCTTCTTCCTCTGACGTTTCTTTTTCTGATTTTTGATTTTTATAACCAATAGAACAACTAATTGCGCTTCTTGATATACATTTTTTTTATAGTTTAAGCGAGTATTACAAAATTGATGAACCGTATAATTTTACTTCTTTTAATTATTTTGCAGCCTTTTTTCAGCTAATTTCTTATATTAGCTCCCAAAAATGAAGATGCAAATTTCACAAAAGGAAACGAGAGTTATATATTATCCTGCTTAAGAGAATAATTGATTACCTACTTCTCAAATATCTCAGATCGCATGCATTTCTGTAGCGCCATCAAATTTACACCTGTTTTCGCTGCTTATACAACAGTGAACTTCATAGAGGATTTATTGACCAAATAAGTCCCTGTTTGATTACTTTATATCTCGTTATTCCCTTTTCTAACGTTTTTACACACTCAACTTCCTGCTTTCGGCATTTGCTACCATTTTAAAGGGACTTTTTAATTCATTTTAATTGTTTTTACTTTAGATGTCGTTTATTTGTTCCGCTTATATTGAATAATTCAGGTTTTTGCTCTCTTTTACTGAAAAGCCTGACTTGGATTGAAGCAAACTACAGATATTTTTCGCTGATTATATTGCTTTCAGACCTGGCTTATTTACTTTTTCACAGATAAGTTTACATTCACGAAAATTGGCTGAGCTATCTGACGTCTGACCCGATACTTCTATTCCCGAAACTTTCTCTGAAAAAGCGTAAGACATAATCCTCAACTGCAAGTTGGAGCATATCGTGAAAACATGCCGTACAAGACTATTTTGATTCTGAGTGGCGCCTTCATAATCTTGTTGATGCTGACTATCATGCAGCAGATTGTGAGTTTCTTCCAGAACCAGAACAACCCTGTTTCGTCCATCAATGTGTTAAGGAGCGACAATGGTTTCATAGACAGTTCAGGTAAGTTTACTTTTACAAAAAAAATTTAATATAAAAGCAGGATTTTAAAAAAGGAACAGTTTGAGCCAGTAATAACCACAAAAAACTGGGGCGTTCACCAGTGCCGAAGTGCATCAGAGCCGAACCTGAAAATGTGTTCAAAAGTGTCGAAAGATGATGTTATTTGAACATATTAATATACGACATAAGTTTTTATAAGCATTTCGTATTTGAGTAAAAGCAAAACAAAAAACGTTTCATAGCCCAATCATTTCATCTTGAAAATATGTTTCATCTTCCAAACTCTGTTTCAGTGGTGTTGTTCTCGGCGTTTATCGTTTCGGAACCTGAGAGTGTAGTGGATTCGGTGGATCTGCTCTACGAGAAGTTCAATGTATCCGACCACTGCCGATGTCTCAATTCCAGTCTGTCCTCCGAATACAAGTGGGAATCCTGTCACAGAATACTTCGTATGGACGATCCAGACATCGACTCACGTTAGTAGTCTTTGTTGACAAGAAGTTTTGTTTTGTTGAAAGATTCAGCTTGACAATTTGTAACCAAAATGTCAGAAAAATTTCTCTATAACTTTCGGTGCTCTCCTGAATGAAGTTAATGACAATACCAGGGGCGGACTTAGGGGGTCCCGAATCCCTGACCAACCAAAGGGTTCTCCTTTAGTAATATTTTATGACATTCATTTTAGGCTGACCAAGCCTAAAATGTTTGTAAAAGCGCCGTGGGCACCAATATATACTAATTTTGAAAGGGAAATTTCAAAAGAATGCAATTTGTTCGGACAAAACTTTCCAAAAAGTGCCAAAAACTGCGAAATGCAGCCAAAAACAGCTTTTTCCAAAAAAGGCCAAAAACTGCATATTTGGTCAAAATTGGGTCTTCCAAGTAATCTGGGAGCGCTCGGAAATTCAATTTGGTCGACTTAATGAATGGTCGATAATTTTTTCGAAAATATTTTGAAAATCCGCCTCCCCCCTCGAGAAAATCCTAGATCCTCCCTTTGACACTAACTTGCGTTTTAAAACTACAACGCATTCCTTTTCGACAAATTCTGCTAATTTGTTTTTTAGCGGTTTGAGTTGTGATTTTTTTTAAAATTTAGTTTAATTCAGGTGGACTAAGAGGGCGCAGGCTTCTTCTTTTTGGAAGTTCGACACCATGGCTACCCAAAAGACCCCCTTAATGACTGTTGTATGAAATCCATTTATCGCTGACCGACCCTAAAATTTTTCTAAAGATGCTTTGGCAACAATATGAAATAATATTGAGGAGGAGCTCGCGCAGGAAAAACTCGTATTTTTTGGTTAAATCATTTCTTTTGGCCCATTTGAACCAAAATTTTTCCTCCGTTAGGGACCTAAAAATCAGTTGGAGATCTAAGCAAGGTAAAGAAAATTTTCATTTTTTTTGGAAAAGTCCGCCAACCATCTCAAGAAAATCCTAGATCCGACCCTGGTTCATTTTTTTGTCAAAAAGAAATAATACTCCATTATCGAACAGCAAAGTTTCAAGGCTACAAAAAACGTGAATAATTTCGTGAATGGATTCTAATTTGGAAATGGTCACTAAATTTTTGAATTCCCAGTGGAAGAAAAAATGGATCTACCGTAACATTTTCCGCAAATTATATTAGGAGGGAGAAAATATGAATTTTTCAGCAAATAAATTTGATTATACCTTAGATTTAGAGAAAAATAACAATTTATTGGAGAAAAATGATTAAAAGTAGGTTAGTTTATGTAATTAACAGCGTTCAAATGCAATTCCTTATTAAAATTGGGACATATGAATTTAAGTCCGCATTTGTTCGAAATGCGTACTTTAAACAGAATTAATTCTTAAATTTAATACGTGGCTAGGTGGAAGTTCTATGGTTGGTCACTTAGGGGGGGGGGGGGGGGGGGAGAGCTTGTACGGTTGATCCGGAAAAATATATGTATCGATCCAGTGTTCTCAATTATGCTATTATTATACAATTCTTGAAACTCAAAAAGCCTAAACGTGTTATATTTTTCTCATTGGATTTGGAAACTTGAAAAATGTTAAAAGTGATTTTTTTTTGGTTTCCTCGAGTTCTTATTACACTTTTTGCAACCATCCTAACCGCTATGTTTTTTCCTCTTTGATTTCGGTTCAAAGAGTTTTTGAGATCTCTTTGATTTAGATCTCAAAGAAACTCGGTGATATAATACATTAGGTGGCAGATTCAAGCAAATAATTGGATCGCTTTTTTGCATACTTCAAAAAGCATATACAATTTATTTCAAGGCCAAGTTTAAAAGAAATGTATATTTTGTCTTTTTGAATGAATAACAATTCATCTGGTTGAGTAATTTCTATGTAAAAATTATTTTAATAGCATGTACAGATGATTGAAACTGAAATGACTATATTATGAAATATAGTTAATAAAATAATACATTTTTCATTGGTTGTAAAATAAGCATTTTTCTACACTTAGTTGTAGTAATATTTGAGGCATTTACTTGTACTTATTGGAACAAGTTGTATATTTTAAAGCAACTTGTACTTGTACTATTCAATTTGTAATATACAACTTGTACTGACTGGAACCAGTTGTATATTTTAAAGCCAACCAGAAACCAAATCACAGCCAATCATCATCATCATAATCATCATCGGGTTTCTTTATCCACTTCTTTTGGAACTCAGAAGTGCTTCTGGATCAATAGTAAGAGTTCTGAGACCTTATGAACCATATTAATTGTTCCGACTTTCGATACGAAAGTAACGGAATGTTTGTGCTCGGGGTGAGTTTTTCAGAGATTGTCTACAAGTGAATTTTTCAGAATTGAGTATGCGTTGTATACTTTTTTTCTCAAGTACAGGTCTTTGGCATATTTTTGTATCAAAAGTTTGGAAGACTTCTGCAATTATCTATAACTTTAACCTAATACTTTTCACCTAAGTGCTGTTCTTGGAATGATTTTTTATTAACAAATTTTTAGGAATAAATGCAACTTGTTGTTCCGACTTTCGATACGAAAGTAACGGAATATTTGTGCTCGGGGTGGGTTTTTTTTCTTCAGACAAATTTCGACTTTTTAACTACCCATTTGTGACGGATTTTTTAATTATCATTCGAAAGGTATTGTTGTTTTGAGTACAAATTTGAAAAGAAGTTTCACCTGTGAATGTTTTTTGTAAAGTTATGGGGGTTTAAAGATTGGGATTTTCGCCAATTTGGGACAATTAACGCGCGGTATCTTTCGATCTATTAACGCGTAAGCGGAGATTTAATCCGTCTTAGAAGTTGTTACAAATTGATTGAAAGAAGCTTATTTGCCATAATTGATTTGTTACAAGGAGCTAAATTTATCATTTTGTACTTTATATGGCGTATGAGGGGATAATTTTCATTAAAAAATTCAAATTTTAGAAAAAAAAATTTTCATTTTGGTTTATTTCTTTTTATTTTTTAATGTTATTATTGCTCCATAAACCCTAAGAAGCAGTCGGAACAATCAGGGCTTCGAATTGGAATAAGTTCAGAATTTTCTTACAACTGTTTTTGTTTTTCTCGATAAGCAAAGAAATTGAAAGTTTGTTTCATAGTTGTCAGTCCAAACAGTCAAAAATAGTTGAGCTTTGTTTCGTGTTCTTTTTGGTACTTTCAGGAGGAAGTTTGATTTTCCACGTCCTGTGGTCGGAACTGCTAAGTCACCTAGATACTAAGGAATAATATATAAGGGAAGCCAATGAAGATCATGGAGATCGAGACTGGTAATGCAGAAACGATGCAGGTTGAATATGTAGCGTACTTCATCATTCTGTATCAGTCTTTTATTGACATTTTACCAAGTAGCGAGTTGCAAAAATTGAGTCTGCTGATAATTATGAATACGATCTTTTGCGATAAGAAAAACTTTACTTGGTGGAGTTTTTTCATATAGAGGTAACACATGGATGTAAAGGCTGCTATATACTGATGGAAAGTGAACAAAGCATCAAAAACAATTCCTAGAGACTTCAGAGACGTTTTTAGCGCGTTAACTTTGTCGTAAAATACGACACTTTTTACCCGAGAACACTCTTGTGTAACTTGGTTCCAAATTTTTCAGTTTTCATCTCATTTATCTTAGGCCTGCATTTGAGAACCAGTTTCCTATATTCATTAAATTGTTTTCAATTGTTAGTCGACAATCGGACAATGCACTATACGCAATTAGTTCTTCAAATTGCCACCTACTGTAACATATCACCAGAAATTTCTAGATGTTAAATGTGGTGTCACGTTGAAGTTCGCTTGATTGTGATTCAGGTTAGCAATCTAACTCTGTTTTTTTTCTTCAATATCTGAGCTATTTTAAATGGTTTGGGCTTATAGAAAAATTCAGTCTCCTCTCTCACAAACTGAAAAAAAAAGATTAATTCATATTTTAAAAAAATTAAATTTTGTCCATCTTTCATATTTTTAACTTTGCTTTAAAGTTTTGAATGGTAGCTTTGAAAAATTGCGTGCTAGTTGTACAGCGACCAGCTATCTTTGATTCTTTTCGAATTTGTATGTTTTGTTTTAATATGAGATAATAAATGATGAAAAACTATATTCGGCAAATTGAGTTATAACCTAAGTGGTTAACTCATAGAGTAATTTCGGATAGGGTACACCGTCTGCTCGTCACGCTATCTTATTTTCGGCCGGATAGATTCGTGCAACTTCTTAGTCTAATACCGATCCTAATCTTACTCTTATATCTACTAGTCTCAGGGTGTTTAACTAGTCTCTGCTAGGCTCAATAGATCTAGAGTATACTGGCTTATTGCGGCAGCTGAAGTTCTCTTGGAGAGGCAACTAATTTCTAAGTTAAATTCAAATCTCTCTGGTGCTGAAATTACAAGTAATTTCAGCACTTACAAATAAATGGGTTGTTAGTTAGATGGATTATGATTGGTTAATATTAAATATTTTACAGTGGTAAAATATCTAATTTATCCATTAATAAAATGTAGTTTAGATCAGGTTCCAAAATACCTAAATTAATGAACTTGAAAGATATTATGATGAAATAGATTGCTTGTTGTGTTTTAGAAGTATTGATCTTCGAGGCACCAGTGAATTATGGCGCATTCCAAACTGAGGCACTGATCTGCGACCACCTCACTGACCCGATAGTGGTCTTCATGTTCATAGTAGTTGCCCAGTCATTTGAACAAATGAACTATTCATGGACACTGTAAGTACACATGTCACACCATTTCAAAAATAGGAAATTGGGCTCATGGGCTCTTTTTTCTTCAAGGGCTATCCTTTTGTCACTTGCCAATTTGTCTTTGTTGAAATTTTGCTCACCAAGCCTAATTTTTCATATCGAAAATTGGTATGCTGACTAGTTGGATCGATCAGAACATATTTGGTCTTGACTGGTGAAATTACTAATTACATCATAAAATAGATGTTAGAGGTTGGGTGGTGGTTGGTGGTGGGGGGAGGGGATTAATATTAGAAACTGAAGTGAATTGAAATATTATCTTAAGAGACATTATAGCCGAAACTCAATATTTCAATTTAATTTTCTTTTTATCCCAAGTGGGTTTAATTATTGCCTTCCTGAGAAGACGATCTTCTGGTTTTTTGAACTGATTAAAAACTCGTCAAGCACAGCTTGACATTTAAAAGATAAATGAACTTTTCGACCCAAAAAGAAAGTTGCCGTGGGCGCTGATAAAATGGGCGTCATAGAAAAAAGAATGTAACTATAAAACTAGCATGTTGATTTTCATGTAGCTTGCTTGCCTTTGAATTTTGGAGAGACTGCTCGTAATTTATCAAAAATCTAAATATTTTGACAGTTTGTGTTGCGACTTTGTAAATTTCGACTTTCCAACTAGCAAGTTTTGACTGAACTGTTTTATATCAGCCGGAAGATACCGTTGTCTTGAGCTCAAATTTACAAAAATATATTTGAAATGTGATCAGTTTTTGTTCACAATTGATCAGTATAACCAAGCTATAGATGTGAAGATTGTCAATTTAGATTCCAAAATGATTCGCGGAATGCCATTTGATCTACTCAATTTTTTTTATGTGAAAAACATATCACTTTTTATTATACAAATGGTGTCGGATATGATTCAAAAAACTCATCGTAGGTTTCTTTTTTTTTCTATTTTTATTTGAAACTCATCAACTATTTTTGAAGCAATTACAACTCCATAGACCGTAAAAGACAGTCAGAACATTCGAGGCTTCTCCCTGAAACAATCAGCAGTGTTCAACAGTTTTTGTCCTAAGAAGTCGGCTGTGTTCTCAAAAAAAATAGAATGACAAATAACATACATAGCAAAATATTTGTTTTAGATAACCTAAAAATCCAGAAATAAAATCATCTCCACTTGTTTAAGCATCAATTTACAACGCGGCAAGGTTGCTCGTGTCAGGGCAAAGCTTTGAAAGTTTTGGTTTTTCTCGATCGACAATCACAAGTTTTTGATTTTGAGAAAATTTTAATAATATTTTCGAACAAACAAATCGACAAAACTTGAAAATGTATAACGCTCGTAAGCTAACCCGATTTGACTTATAGTAATCAAAATAGTTTGAATTTTAAACCTTTTTTAATTTAAGCAAATTGATCACAAGCTATTTTTTCCACAGTTGAGCTTCAGACAGTAATACATCCCAGATGGTATGGAAAAAACCATCAAAATGCTTAGTTAAGAAATCGAAAATTTACTGCAAAAAACAATTTCTCCGAAAGTCAGAAAAATGATTCACTGTTCAAGCACTTAATAGACCAGAGTCAGAGTTTCACGCTGAAATTTAAGTGATGCGGTCAGGGGGGGGGGATATTCAAAAAATTTTCAAAACTTTGTCGACCTCTTTTTTAGATCGACGAAATTGATTTTCCAAACTCTCCCAAAGCCCAAAGCACTAAAAAGAACCTGTTTTGGCCGAAAATCTGCGCCACAGGGAAAATTTTGAAAACAGTCCAAAAAAAGCGTTTTTAGGCATTTTTTGGAAAATTTTGATCAATAATCGCGTTTTTCCAGCGCGCGCTCTTCCATCATATTTAGTATATATTGACGCCCACGGCGTCTTTAGAGTTTTTTAGGGTCCATCGCTGGAAATCTTTTTGACAGAGAAGCGCTCATTGGAGCTTCCGAAACTAGATTTTCTCTCAGGTTTTAAGTAAAATCAAGTTTTGTTTTAGCTTAAATTGCTTATTTTCTTATGTAATGAAAGTTTCTCGAACGTTTTATTCGCTCAAAACTTGACTAAAATTAAAAAGTTAAAACTAAGTTTTCTCGACACTGGGACAAGTTTTTGAAAAATTTAAAATTCCCTAGAATCACAACTGATAAGGCTCCAATACAATATATCACTGGACCCAGATTATTTGTTGTACCTGATTTTTCGTTGAAAATAAAAAGTTCAAAGTTTCTTACCATTTTCAGTGGTCGGAACAAAAAATTATTATCAGAATTTCAAAAAATCGGTCAATCATTTCATAATTCGGTACACACTAGATAACGAATACTTTTATGAGGTCTACTTAGCTTCTTTGAAATATTCTTGAACTATATACCTAACGGATTGTGGTATGTATTTAGACAACCGCGTATTCATACTCGTCAGTAAACCGACAATTACCATATTAGTGAATCAGAATCGAGATGAGAAAGCAAGTTTACGAAATAAATAATTATTAATTATTCATTTCTTCCTTGTCTCGATTCTGGTTGGTTAATACAGTATTTCTCTGCTTACTGACAAGTCTGAACACGCGGTTGTCTAAATACTGCTACGTAACCATACCTAACCTTTAAAACATCTCGCGATTTCGATTAAACTGGTGCTCATGGAAGGGAGCCTCTTCAATTGTAGGAGGAACAGCAGCGAGAGGAGTGAGTTGGTGGACGAGTTGTTCAACGGACACATCCACCACTGGGTCCACTGCAACTTCTACACCAACCTCAGACTGACAAAGACAGAGTACTTCAGAGACCACAGGCCAAACAGGATACACATCGACGTATCTGTTAGTAAACAGACAAACATTTTAAAGTTATGTTTGAGATGATGCCCACCCACATCACATCACATAAAGCGCATATCACCTCCAAATGCATATTACCTAATGGCTGCGCCGGTAGCAAAAGGCGTAAAAGTGTATTTCAAACACTCATTTAAATCATTTTTTCTTGCATTTCCAGTTAAAAAAGAAAATGATGATTAAAAAACAACGTACCAAACAGATATACATCGACCTTTCTGTTAACGAAAATTTTTTCGTAAGTATTTCTTCGATAGCTGGCCAAAACGGAGTTTGCTCTAGGTTATTGATTGAAGTCCAAGAAAAATGATTGAAATTTCAAGCAAAATTAATTAATAAGCAGGGGTAATTAATTAATTTCTCTGAGCTGGCTGAATGTATCTTGTCGGAACTACAGTCCCAATATCATCGATTTCTAACCTGTAAATATTTGAAAAAAAATATAGATCGAAATGAGAACCACCGGTGTCTGAGCACAGAAATGTCTGATCACTATTTATTAGTCTGCAAAAAAACTAAGATGAAAACAAACGAAAAAGCCCGAGTTTTTTAGAGAGGATGAGCGAGGGGGAAGTAAAAAGCATGACATGAGTTTGGGCTTCAAGATTTAGTAGCAAAAGCTACATGAACGTAATAATGAAGATAACAATTGATTTCTGTTTTTTCTTTAGATAATGGCTTGCTTGGTTTACTTGGTACCTGGAAATTTATCTTCAAATCAATTTTTCTCAACACTACTATAAAAAAATTAGCATTTAACACCCATTGAAACACAGTATCCACGCAGTAGTATTCTATGCTCATGTATTCCTCGTTTCAGTCGAGCACGACGGAGAATCTGAAAAAGGGTCAGACTCGGATGAACTTTGCGTGGCTGGACGGGACAGTGACCCGCATAGACAAGTTCACAGACAGAAGTGTGTGGTCATTCGCCATGCTACTCTGTGCAGTCCTCTTAGGTCTAGAGAGGTAAGAAGTCGCCTATGGATTACCCTCGTCAATCAAAGATATTTACCTCATAAAAGATACTCATCATTTGCAAGGTGCTCCCAAGTAACCATCCTTGGTCGACTAGGATAACCATGTAGATACTCCCCTAAAAATCTAAAACTCTAAAAACTTTCAGAAGTCAGTTCTCTTAACTTGACTGTTTTGCAGTTATCGTTCCAAGTTTTTGGGCTATATACCTCGTTCGTAACATTTTTTACTTTCAGTTTTTGTTGATAATGATGTTTAATCTTTTTCAAAGCTTTTTTTTTTCATGATAACGTTTTTTTTGTTGATGCGATGATCCATCTTCATCATTACTTCTTTAGGCTAAAAAGTGTTCATTATCATCTTTCCATCAAAACTTGACACCAAGTTGGTTTTTTCGCTCCATAGATCTTATGCTATTCGATTAAAATTTATGAGCTCTCAAATTTTCGTTATTTGGAGCAGATGTGATTAAATCAGAATATTTTGTCTGATGAATTTTGACTTCAGATGCTACTCTATCATAACAAGAGCCAAAGCTCAGAATCAGAAACATCGGAGTCGTCGAAAGGAAAAAGGGGAGAAAAAAGAACAGCCGCCAGACCTGAACTTAATCGACCCAGAAAACAACCAGACGGGAATAAAAGGAAATCGAGAAAGCGCCGAACACTCTCAATTTAATCAGAAGAAAACAGAAAGCGCAGCCATCATCGAAAATAAGAATTTTTTCAATGTTTAAACAAAAGAAGCTTTGAAGTTATGTTTGTATATATTTCGGAAATATTTAATCGAAGTTCAAACTCGTTTTTTATTTTAATGAACTTTATTATACTGCGATATCCCAAAAAAAACAAGTTTGATCCAGAATCAGTAAAAATAGTTTTTTATTCGAGGCTTCTTTCTTTCTTTTCTTAAATATCTTCAAGTTGTGAGAATTGTTATGGGTGATCAGCTGATCTTAGAGAAGGATGAATTTAGGGTATTCGAGAAGTGGCGGTGAATTGAGGTAAATGTTGCCGTTGATACACCTTCCCATTTAGGGCCAATTGAATGGCTTTACAGATGTAATAGTGTTTATTGAACCTGATAAAGGATCGGATAGCGCGTCCCGGATTGACCGCCATAGACATAAATGCTAATCATACAGTTCCATACTATTTTCCAATGAAAAAAGAAAGAATGCTTGTCACACAGTTCCCATTGAAACCAAAAAAAATATTTGTATTGAGAAAACAAAGAGAAGTTAAGTAAATTATGAAGCTCAAAAAACTAGTCAGCGGTCAAACGGTTATCGGCAAACTTGTTGAAAAAGATAGAAAAAAAATTAACAAAAATGACTTTTTTCTTGAAACTGTATGACTAGCATGTTTTTGAAACCAAAAAAAAAAACAATTGTTATGAGAAAACAACGAGAAATTGAACTGGTTACAAAGCTCAAACAACTAGTCAGCGACTAAATGTTTGTCTCCAAACTAGTTGAACTAGAAAAAAAATGTTAAAAATTCATTTTTGTCTTGAAAAAATGCTAGTCATAAAAATCCAATACTATGGTAGCTGTATGACTAGTAATTGTTTAGAAGCAAAAAACTACTTGTATTGAGAAAACAAAAAGACGTCAAATCCAAAGATATCAAAAATGCCTGGACTGTTAACAGAGTGTTTTTTAACAATTGTTTTTGTCAATGTGAAAATTTTTCACTAATTTCTGCAATACTACTGGATTTTCTGACCTTTTTTCCATGAAAAAGAAACTACTGATTACGGATTACGAACTTCCTAGATATTCATAAATTGTGAACACTAATTTTAGAGTACATGGAAAGTTAAGTTTTCTGATGGTAACTAAGACTTTTTTCTTTCTAACTTTTTTAAATTTAACTTTCAACCTCGGAAAACACAAAACTTTTTTTCGTATAATCATCTGAAAATTAGTAGTGAAAGTTTCAAAGACCAGAAAATTTCCAACAAAGGCGTCAATCAGTCACGGTTTATTGAAATACTACTGAAAAATATCCAAAAAGTAGGAATTTTGAAAAATGTTATTTAATCATACACGTTTTTAATGTTTTAAGGGTCAAATTTTGGTGTTCACAAGCAATATGTAGCTAAAGCTCAGCTTATTGGGGAAAAATAGTCAAAGTTATCCTTAAATAATTTCAAAAAGAGCCAGGAAAATACTGTTATCAGAATGGTTTTTTAATAAGTTTAATCGTAAATTCGAAGTCATTTTAATAATTCCGGCAAGAATTACTGTGTTTTTGGATGAACTCCACACAACTAAGAAAAAGGCATTACGGGTTTTTAGAAAAATATAAATTGAAAACAAGGATTTTGGCTTGACTTTCTTTCAGTTGGAGCCTGGTCTTCAACTTCTTTTTGTTGGTTGTTTTGAATCTTTCAACAAGATTAAGAAACTCAGTTTTCTGCTGAGCCGCGAAGAATTTCCTGCAGAAAATACAATCTCTTTGTTTTCTCAGGTTTTTCTCATCAGTTCTGAGATTGCGCGATTACAGGTTTTTGTAAAGATTTACATTATTAGCTCAATTAGAGTTTGCTATTAGGATTGGAAAACTGCTAGTCAAGCTATTTCCAAAAATGAAAAATGTTAGTCATGCAGTTCCCATTTATGGCCATACAACTTCATTATAGGAAAATGCTAGTCATACAGTTCCATAATATATAGTTCATAGTCATAGAGTTTTTATACACTTTTTCAAACGTATGAATTGTATGAGAAATTGTATGGGAATTGTATGATTAGCATTTTTGGTCAACCCGGGGTGACATATAAATATTGAAGTAGGGATAGGACTCCCATTTACGTGACAAAAATTACTAACTTATTTGTAAGCAGGTCAATTGTTTTTACTAAAAAATGAGCTGCCGAAAAAAGAGCACGAAAATTAACAATTATGTTTAATGAACTATGTTTATTAAACCTTCCGTTTGAAAGTTTTGCCATACTTCATTCGTTAACTTCACTTATATTATTTTTTGCTCAGAAAAAATTAACATGCTAAAAAATAGCGGCAAGGTGAACAAAACAAAACGAAATTTCAACCTTCCCGGTTTGCTGTCTCATTGAATGGTGGCGTTGGAAGTACGAAAAAACGACTGCTGTCGTGAGGCGACCTTCGGTACCTCGTCAGTTACTTGTTCTTTTGCAGTCCTACTGCAGTTCGATGCTAATTACATTAACCAAGGTCATTGCGCTAACCTCTACTTAACTTCACGCAGAGCGTATTCATTCATTATCCGTTATCTCTATTGTTTGCTAGAAATCTGATTCAACTTAATCTTATGATCAATCAAGATAAATTTCCTAAACCAAGATTATATTCGAAACTAAGCAACAAAAAAATTCTATCCAACAAAGTTTTTAACTCTAAAACAATTTACGTATTGTTCAACAACAAAGTTTTCATTCTAAGACCTCGGCAAATCTGATGGCGCAGCCAGCAGTTCCTGTGAATGAAGACAGGACTGACCTGTTAGGTATTCCCCTTTAATATTGGGGGCGAACTGAGGGCGAAGATGCTGGAGCAGCTAACGCCCGCAGACAGCGAGATCAAGCGGCGATCCGAAGGATTACTGAGCTCAAAATTGAGAGAAGAAAAGGCCCTCGAATTAGTCAAAATTGGTTCTACCACGAGGCTGAGGCTCGTATTAATTCTCGTTTGTTCTTTGCTCTGGGGAATGAAGGGAGGAGACGATTCGCTGACTCATTTCCTCACACAGACATTAGTGATATTCCTTTTCGAGAATTTCATACCGGCTGTGAAACGCTGTTCAAGATTGAACGAGAATACACGGTGGAGCGTATAAAGTTGTATAACACAGTTTTCATGCTTGAAAATGACAGCTTCTCGTCATTTTATGCCCGTTTGAGCGCCCAAGTGGCTTTGTGCAATTGGCCTAATCATCAGGAAAAAGAGACCCTGAAAGACCTCTTTATTGGACAAATTCGAGACGTCGATGTTCAACAACAACTCATCAAGGCAAAAGCTGATCTCGATGGCACCTTTAAGCTCGCACTTGAGTGCGAAAAAGGGACAAGTACTTCTGCTCAGTTCCAGAAACTACTCCCTCATAATCAACATTCTAGCGGTCTTAAGGTTAAATAAGAACCTACTTGCTCTATTCAGTCATCGAGAGGAAGACGGAATTATTCTCAAAGCCAAAATAACCGACAAATGTCACAAAACAATCAAACGAATAAATCATGTTATTTCTGTGGTAATCCTTATAGTCCGGATCACCGTAAATATTGTCCAGCTCGGGAAGTAACTTGTAATCTCTGTCGGAAACGTGGACACTTCGCGAAATGCTGCAAATTGTCGAAAAGACGTGTCAATCTGGTGCAGGAAAATGAGGACGTGGCGGGTCCCTCTGTGGATTGCAACTTCATAGATGTAGACCAGGATAGTGAGCCCGAATATGGGGTGTAACAGTTGGAATCCGCTGTCATGATTAATAGTATAGAAACCCTCAGATCAAGTGGAGGACCCTGTTTGGTAAGAATCTTAAGCCTGCGTCAACTTTTAATACTGCGCAATCTTTGCCTGTCCTGTCTGGACCTAATCAGGAGTTACAACTAGATTTTGCTGGTCCGATACTTGATTAAAAGGGGTCTAAGATCTTTCTTTTGGTAGCGATTGATCGGTTCTCTAAATTTCCTTCAGTTCTGATCTCCAAAACCACTGGGGCTAAGAAGGTTACTAAATTCCTTGAATTTTATATTCGTATTCATGGTCTTCCTTTTTCTATCAGAACGGATCATGGTTCAGGTTTTAAAAATAACTTGGTTCAAGAATTCTGCTCCAATAGAGGTATTAAACATATTCTTTCACCGGTCGGAGGTCTCCGTGGCAGTCGGTTGGTCGAACGAACGATTCAGACAATCAAAAGAAAACTGGGTGTGGAAAAACTTGATCCTAATTTCAAAAACTTTAAGGATACGATTCATCAAATACTTGAGGATATTCACAAGAGTAACCATGAGGTGCTTAAGAAAACACCTTTTGAATTGCATTTTGGACGTAAACCTAATACTGTATGGTATCAAGCAGGTAATAATGTTGTTCCATCTGATACTTCAGCCCAAGGACTGGAGCGCAACCTCCTTACACCCGACCAGATTGCCAGCAATGATTACAGTAGGGACAGGGCAAAAGTTGTTCCTCGCGGCAGTACCAGTCCAACAATTCCTCCCCGCTTCAAACCTTTGTTTTCGATGGACAAGAATGCGGCAGACAGTTAGCCCTACAAGGCGTTGGCGGAACTCGCTCGGGCGTCGAATAAATGGTCGCAATGCAAACGTAATCTTCCCCCAGATGGAGGAAAAAAGGTCCTCAAGGCGCTCACAACCCGGCATTCGGACCTTGCTCATTCTCTTAAATCCGGACTCAATAGCCGCACTCTTCGCTTCTCGGCTCTAGTAACACCTCCGGGGGCACAAGTCAGCTCCGGGCGTGCACCAGTTGTGCAACCTCGTCGCCTCTCGAGAACAAGTAAATTAGAAAACCTTCTACTGTCTGATCCTAGTCGAGTTATAGTCTTTAGGAAAATTATTGATCGTCAATCGGGGAAACCTCTTTATAAACCGACTAAGTTTAAAATTGTTCGTGTTACGGATCATACTTATGTTACTGACAATGGGAAAGTTTACCGGAAAAATCAAATCTGCCTCAAACCTAATTATCGGTCTACCGTTTTAGTAGCTCCAAACATTATAGGTGATCGCACTCAGGCTTCGAATTCAACTTACTATTACGCGGTCGCAGCCTGTACTACTGGAACAACGGCCAAACAATCCCGCTCTCTCTACTCCGATGGTGGATCTCACAGTTGACTCTT